TTTTTCTAAAATTAAAAAAAGAAACAAAAATGTTAACTCTATCGTCTAAACGATCACTTTAAACCCAACGGAGACTTCGATAGAAGCAAACAAAATCATTTTTTAGACCATTTAAATTAGTGAATAATTTTTATTTTTTCTTTTTTGAAAATGTAAAATTGATACTTTCAAAAATGAAAAAATAAAAAATACAAATTGCCATATTCTTGGGTGGATAATATATTGAAATCATATCCGGGCCATATGTGCATATTCGGTAACTTGAAAACAAAACCAAAATGGTATTAATTATTACAGCGGACAAGCCAGACGCGTAACCAGTTTCCTTTCTCAGAATATCGAACTAACATCACTTTGATACAGATGAAATCTTGACTCTTTCATTAGCTCTCGCGATTGTCTATCGTTAATTCGATCCTAATTCTGTTTTGTACGGGTGTTTTTATCGCGCTTTAAGTTTTGCCCTCCTTTTGATTTCATGTAAGTCGGTTATTTTTTTATATTGATTTTTTAAAATAAAAAAAAAAAATTAGTTGTGAACTTGAATTAAGTTTAGTTTTGATTGGAATTTTTGCACGTGTATTATTAAATTGAAGCCCTAATTTAATTTCCCTCAATTTGATGAAACCCTAAATGTTAATTTTTGCATTATTCTATACGCGATTTTAGCCTGAATATTTTGTATCCCTGAGTAATTGCAGTCGAATTATGTATTTATGAATGTGATCAGGGCTATTGAAAAATTAACTATTTTGGGAAATTTGGTTTTCTTTCCTGTTCATTGTCGTTTAGTAGCAAGCTTGGAATTTTTTAAGGAATTACTTTCTTATTTTTCTAATTAAATGCTTCTTATTCTGCTTTGGAATGTATTGAAATGAAAGCCGCTTAGTTTGAACGTCTGCCACTTATTATATCTTCTCTCTCTCTCTCTCTCTCTTGAGTGAAATAGTTCCTTAAATTAACTGTTGACCAGTAAATGATGGGACGAAAGTAAATTGAGAGAAGCTTAGTATAATTGTATTTGGACACTAACAAAAGAAATAGATGTTTAGCTGCCTGATCTTTTGGGTCATCATAATGCACGTCTCTTCCATTGAACATTTCATATAAGGTGCGATCGATTGAGGTAAACCTGTAGTTAATCACTCTAGCGTGGCAGTTACAGTGATATTGATTATTATTTCTACTTTTCCTTTTTATGGATCATTTAATACTTCTCATGGTCGAGTTCTGATTGTCAATTCTTGGCTTTCAAAAGGTTCTATTTTGAGCCTGACTCTTTGGCGGCAGCTTAAATTTTTTGAAGCCTCTGTGATGACTTGTATGCAACGGGACTCACATTTATAAGGATGCATGACTGAAAATGTTCAAGTTGATATTTGTGGTTATGGGTCTCGGTTTAAATTGAATTACATGTTCGCATATTAGAAAAGAGGCATATATACCCTATCCAATACTGTCACTATTGGATAAAGAGATCCAGGAAAAAGATTATGATTGTGAAAGAATAGAGATATAAAAGAAATAGCTTCTATTCTGTCCCCTGGCTATTCCTTTCCAATAAAATCCCTCCTGTTAGTTTCAGAAATCCTGGATCTCTCATTTCTGCACCTTTACCAAATGTACTAGGCATCATCTAAAATCCTGCTAATAGGAGAGAAGGTCGCATTATTTGCAGACAACAACACAGCAATTAATGGTTTTTGCTTTCCATGTCCTTGTATGGGAAACAAGAATTACAGAAACACAAAGCTTCTTCGTCATTATTAACTCCTTTCACGTTGAGAATGTGGATGCCTGCCAAGCATCTCAAGACCGTAAAATATAACCTTTACAGGAAAATAAATATCTGAAGCTGTTTGCTGGAAAGGAGGCTACTGTTTTTTTGGGAATATGTATTGTTATCGAGTAACTTATCCAGTTAAGATATAATTGGCATTCAACTAATAATAGGAAGATGTTTTAGAGGTTTAACACACGACATCCATTATGTTACTGAAAATAAATTTACCAGCTTCACTCGATTTACTGAAATGTTTTCTGAACTTATCTGGACTGATCACATTATTCTGAATTGTTAATTCTTTTGGAATCTTCAGTTTGACCGACAATTAGGTAATTTGATCTAGGCATACTCAGAAATTTTTTGTAAGCATTTAGGAAAATAATATTTATGTAATTTTTCTGAATATGAGCTGCTAATTTCTTACGAAATCATTGATTTAATGGAAATTAGCCCTTGTTTTGGAAACTTTTTTTTCTGCATACTCATTTTCAACCACACATTCATACAATATTCTGCACATAAACCCAAAACTCCTTTCTTTTTAACTGCACATTCTCCCAAAAATCACCATTCAAAACATTGTTTTTCCCAAATAATGGCCATCAAACAGGTGCTTAGGTAATTTGATTGACAAATGCTTAACTATTTTAGTAAGCCTGTTGAAATAACATGCTTTGCTTATTGAGTCACGCGTGCCTCTCTTCCATGGGGAAGAGGGCTGCCCAGGTTGTTATTATTTGCAAAATTTGCAGAATGTGTTTGATGGAAATCCTAGAAGATATGTTAGACGGAATACTTCCGAAATTGGATACATAATTATGGTTTTATTCTCTAGTATTTTAATATTTGATCCTTAATATATAATAGATTCTCTAGTATTTTGTTAAATTCTCTATTATTTTGTTAGACATTTTTTTTTACTTAATTTAGACTAGTTTATATCCTATGTAAAGGTGCTTATACTTTGTAGTAAGACACACTTAGTTATTGAATAAATTGATATTTTCTCTCTCCTTCTCTTTCTTCTCTCTCTTCCTGTTCCTCTTTCTTTTCTGAATCTTGTTCTTATTTGATTATGTTCTACATCAGTATTTGTCAAAGTAATTGCTTCTTCCATTTTTTTTAGACAGGTAGATTGTGGATGTTATTATGCATGGGAAGTAACTGAAGAGGGATGCAAGTTATCTAGATGGTGGAGCCTTATAATTTATGTTACGAGGAACACATTATTTAGCGTACAGTAAAGATGAATTTACAGACGCACCTTTCAGGGCAGATATCAGGACAGGTTCCAAACCAAGCAGGTACTTCTTTGGCTGGGCTACCGCAGCAAAAAGGAAATCCCCTGCCTGGACATATGCAAAATCCTGGTGTTAATCGTAGTGTTATGAACTTGGATCCAGAATTTGGGAAGGCACGCAAATATATGACAGAAAGCATGTAAGCCTTTCAGTTATTTGTGCCCCTTCAGAAATATGCTATTTTTTGTTGTTTTAATGATTTTACTTTTTCCTCGAATGAATGGTGCGCATGTTGGGGGATTGATGGTCCAATCTATGAGTTAATAATATCTTGTATCTGCTTGGCATTACTTCTTTGTGGTGCTACATGTGTTGTTGCCTCAGAGCTTATTCAATGTGAATGTATCAGATTTGTGCTCCATTCCCCAAATTTCTGTAAACTTATCAAAAAGTGCATTATGACTACGATATCAACAAGGCTTATGGTTCTGAGCTTTATGTTTTGCTTGTGGATTATGGCTTGTGTTCTGGCATAGTGAGAGTCGGTAACTTCTGCTGCTGCATTGTGGTGGCATAAATTAAACACACTATACAAGGGCCTTGAGATGATAAATGTGTATGAACTGAAATTCCTAATAGATTTTTATAGTTTACAAGGACTTCTCAGCAGATATTTGAGCTGATAAATGTTATATACCGTCTCTTGTTACAGTTTTCTGCATGTTGTGCTAAGTCGGTAACTTCTGCTGCTGCATTGTGGTGGCATAAATTAAACACACTATACAAGGGCCTTGAGATGATAAATGTGCATGAACTGAAATTCCTAATAGATTTTTATAGTTTACAAGGACTTCTCAGCAGATATTTGAGCTGATAAATGTTATATACCGTCTCTTGTTACAGTTTTCTGCATGTTGTGCTAAGTTGAAAACAAAATTCTCATATAGGTTTATGGGCACAGGTTTTGCTCAACGAACATTTTCAATTAGTTCTATCTCTTCTATCCCCCTTTTTTAGTGGGGTGGTGTATAAAATTATTGTTGCAACTGCTTCCTCAGTGTTTGGGTGCTCTCTAAGAAGCACGGACACTAGCACGCAACATAAACACGACTCCATATGATATAGATTCGTATGTTATATCTTTGTTTTATACTTTTTTAATTTTTCAAAAAGAGTAACACTTGTTTTAGAGTGAAATCTTTTGGATTGGAGGAGTGTTATTTGTTGTATTAAAGTAACTTTGTGCTAAACTATATATTATTTTTGTTAATGTTAAATTCTAAAATTTAAAAAATGAAGCTTTGCGTGTCTTGATATGTCAAGGTGTTCCTCGTGTGTTATAGAACTATAAAGAATATGGACAATATAAGATGGTGTTGGACACGTGCCCAAGTTGTGCTTGCGAAGTGTTGAGTAATTGTTGGAAATTTAAAAAATATATAAAAATAGGACACGCTACACGAAGGGTTGGACACACGTTCTTGAGTGCCGAAGAAGTGTCTTGTTCGACATGGACACGCACCTTAGTAGGAGTGTTTGTGCTTCATAGGGTGCTCTTGTATCAGGGTTTGGATACGCAATTGAGGCTGATGTAATGGTGTCTTCTCTATTTTGCAGATATGAATTTCTCATGCAGCGTCGACAACAAACTCTCGATGCTCCCCCTAAGAAACTGTTTGACATAGTAAGACGCTTAGAGGAGAGTCTATTCAGGAGTGCTATGACCAAGGTTTGTTATAGTTTCATTTCCTTTTGTTATGTGATTTTACTTCTATTGTGTGTGTTTGGGGGGGGGGGGGGGGGGGGTTGAACATATATTAGGGCTTCTTAAGGAAATGATTAACTGCTAATCATGTAAGTATGACTTTTTTATTTTATTTTTGCACTATCAGGAGGAGTATCTAAACATGGAAACCTTGGAAAGTCGTTTACACCTGTTGATTAGACGGATGAGTAACCACAACCAGCAATTTTCACATGCTAATACTTCCTCTTCAATTGGTACAATGATTCCGACTCCTGGATTGCCTCAGACAGGGAATTCAATCCTGCCAAGAGCTCCGTCAGTCGATAGTTCTATCGTTGCTAACAATGGTAATACAATTGCATCCTCCACTGTCAATTCTGGAATCTTCTCGCCATCTGGAAAGGGTTCATCTGGGACTGTGCATGATGGTTCTTTAGTTCATTTAATGCTTCTATATGTCTTATTTCTTTGGAAATGAGTATAGCTATCAACCCGCCTTTTCTAATTCCTGTCTGACAAGACATATATATGCAGGTGCTTTGGCTAGTGGATATCAGCAGTCATCTACTGGTTTCGCAATCAGTTCTGGTGGAAATAGCATGTTGACATCCATGGGTGTACAGAGAATGACCAGCCAAATGATCCCCACTCCTGGATTTTGTAATCCAAGTAACGAAGGGAATAATAATGCCAATAATCAGTCTTTCTTGAACCCGGACTCATCTTATAATGTCAGTGCATTTCCAGCTGAAGAATCTACTATTGTATCACAGCCAATGCAGCATGCTGGTGGTCAAAATAGTCGTATGTTGCATAATATTGATGGTCATATGGATCGGTCCACATTGCAGCAAACGTCCTATGGATTATCAAGTGGGTCCTTAAATGGTGGGCTAGGGGTGATTGGAAACAATATACCTCCAATGAATGGTCCGGGAACTTCAGAGGGCTATTTAATGGGAACCATGCATGGGAACTCCCCAAAACCCTGGCACCAACATTTCGATCAGCATCAGCGACCAGTGATGCAGGGTACTCTCTTTCTCTCTCAAAATGTGTTGAATATTTTTCTGTTAGCCTTTTAGTTGCACCCTTACTGTAAATAGGCCACTTGCAGGTGACAGATATGAGCTTGGTTCTTCTGATGCTTCGGGGTCTGGAAACTTGCATGTTCCTGTAACCTCTGTTGAGTCGGTGATGAATGATCAGAAGTTTAATGCAGTATCCGTGCAGTCCATGCCCAATGCAAGCCCTCCTTTGATGGCCAATCAGTCGAACATGCATGCAACTCAACAGTTGATTAGAATGAAGCCTCATTCAACTAATCAATCAGAAAAATTGCACCTTCAATCGAATTACTCAGGGAGAGAGAATGTTGTAAAATCTCATCAACCTCGACCATTTCAGAAGCCTTCATATCAATTTCAGCGCCAGCAACTTGGTCCACATCAACTCCAACAAAATCAGCAAAGTCAAAGCCACCAGCTTTTGTTAAAGAATGATGAGTCTCAGCTGCCATCTGATATAGGTTCTAAAGTGAAGTCCGAGCCTGGAACAGAGCACCATGATGAAAATCTGCACTCACAAGTCTCCGACCAATTCCAATTTTCTGATATACAGAATCAGTTCCCACACAAAACTATGGAAGACCATTCTAGAAGTTCTCAGTCTCTTCCACATACATCTTACTCACAGGATGTCTGTTCATCTGTAGCTCAAACTTCTGAGCATATGCAACGATTTTCGCCACATCAATATGCTCCTAATTCTCAAAGTGATTTTAGTGGTTTTTCTGGTAATGATCAATTAGATTCAACACCGCATGGTCGGTGGCATCCCAAGACTCATGATGGGTCTCATATGGCAGGGGAATTCCTTCATGATCAAAATGTGCCCGAGAAATTTCGTCAGAGAATAACTAGGAACGATTTAGCTGAGCGAAATAATCTCTCCTCAGAGGAATCAATGATTGGTCAACCTGATGCTACTAAATCAACAGAGCCTTTCAATGTGAGTGGGACTGGGTGCAGATCTGGTAACCTTAATCGTGAACAGCAGTTCAAGAACCAACAAAAATGGCTGCTGTTTTTGAGGCACGCTCGTCGATGTCCTGCTCCAGAAGGGAAATGTCAAGATCCTAATTGCATAAATGGTCAGAAACTGTTGAGGCATATGGAACAATGCAATGTATTTCAATGTCCATATCCTCGCTGTCGTGCCACAAAAGCTCTAGTTAATCATCATAGGCATTGTAGGGATACAAGTTGCCCAGTTTGTGTTCCCGTAAAGAATTATGTACAGTTACACCTTAAGGCATTGGGTCGTGCTGATCTGGTTTCTGCTCTGCCAAGTTCAGTCAATGGATCTTGTAAGTCCTATAATACTACTGAAATAATTGGTATGTCGACGCTCAAGATGAGTCCAGCTATAGCCGAAAATCCAGAAGATTTACAGCCTAATGGCAAACGCATAAAGATTGAGCATACCTCCCAACCTCATGTGTCTGAAAGTGAGAGTTCTGCTGTACCAGTTCCTAGCATAAATGAACCTCATTCCATCAAGGATTCACAGCATACTGAAAATTTTAATCCTCTTGTGACAATGGAACCAGAAGTTCCGGAAGTAGAGATGGAAATTCCTGTAAGTAAACAAGGAAGTCTTAAGAGCATTGAGATGAAAAATGAGAATTTGGATGATACCCTCCTCCAGAATATTGAAGGCTCTACTATAAAATTGGAGAATTCTGTTGTACCGACGGTGCCGGAGGACATTAAGATCAAGAAGGAATTGGACCAGGGTAAACAGAAAAGTACGTCTCTATTTTCAGAAAATGCATCCAAGTCTGGGAAACCAAACATAAAGGGAGTGTCACTGATAGAATTGTTCACTCCTGAGCAAGTCCGAGATCACATTACAGGTCTTAGACGGTGGATTGGCCAGGTAAGCTTGTGGACCCTTATACAATGCTTTTGTTACTTTGTTATGGGGGTGAGTAGGAGAGCAGATGTTAAAAGTTATATCATTATTACAGCACCATTAAGTTGCTGTCGTATATGCTGCATTCAGCCACTGTAGAAATTTATTAAACATTATGCCCCCGTTTGGCCCCCATGAAAATTATAATCCATTTTTCTCTCTTCTTATCAACCACACATTTTCCAATAAAATAATATTACACGTAAACCTCGAAACAATTTCTTCATTTTTAACCACACATTCTTAAAAAAAAAAACACTATTTCAAAAATTATAATCTCCAATAATGGCAAATAATGGGGGCCAAACGGGGGCTATATTAAATCTGACTTGAGGATCGCAACAATATTCACCACATAGCTATTAAATTCTTTCTTCTGTTTGACATCTCAATATATATTAGAAAGCAATTTTGTAACTTCATCCAACTAATGTGGCATTTGTATTGGCAATGAGGCTTAGTTGGTTTGTTGTATTTTTTATTTGAAGGGAGGGGTGGGTGTTTGGGTGGTGAAGAGCATATTTGTTTCTTTCAGTAGCGCTTAAAAGATTCAGTCCTACTCAACTCATGTTTTCTTTTACAGAGCAAAGCAAAAGCAGAAAAGAACCAAGCAATGGAGCATTCAATGAGTGAAAATTCTTGCCAGTTGTGTGCAGTTGAGAAGCTTACCTTTGAACCACCACCTCTATATTGTACGCCTTGTGGTGCTCGCATAAAAAGAAATGCGATGTATTATACCATTGGAGCTGGAGATGCTCGTCATTGCTTCTGCATTCCATGTTACAATGAGGTTCGTGGAGACACCATCATGGCTGATAGAACTCCTATTCCAAAGGCAAGGTTGGAGAAGAAGAAAAATGATGAAGAAACTGAAGAATGGGTATGTTATTTCTGCTTGTTATAATATTTTTTTGACCATGAAAATGGTCCCTTGAGATAACCAAGTATTTCTGCTTTGTGCAGTGGGTTCAATGTGACAAGTGTGAAGCTTGGCAACATCAAATATGTGCTTTATTTAATGGCAGAAGGAATGATGGTGGACAAGCTGAGTATACATGCCCAAATTGTTATATAGCAGAAGTGGAAAGAGGAGAACGTGTGCCATTACCACAGAGTGCCGTTCTGGGAGCAAAAGATTTGCCTAGAACAATTTTGAGCGATCACATTGAGCAGCGATTGTTTAGACGGTTGAAGCAAGAAAGACTGGAGAGGGCAAGGGCTCAAGGAAGAAATTATGATGAGGTAATTCAGTTGAAAACAATACGAGAATGTGTAGAATCAGTAGATGCTTTCGTTATCTTTGAATTGAGATAGTTTGTATTTCAAGAAATGTACTTCCACGAGTTGCTGATGAATGTTTTGAATTTGTTATCCGGGTTATCTTATTCTAGAGATTCTTATGGGGCTGAATCAACATACATTGATGCTATTTTAATAATTTCAAATGTTTATGTTGTAGTGCTGAAATAGACAAGGGCTCCTAAAGAACCTTTTCCTGTATTATGTAATAGAGTTAGAATTTGATCTTATCTTATTTATGGAGAGTATCATTAACAGGTCTATAAGTTAAGTTCTATTGGCACTGGAATTTCACAGACTAGTCATAATTTGTGTTCTGGAATATGTTTTGTGAATAAGCCGTTAATGCAGGCTGTATATTAACTGGTGGAGATTTCTAACACTATTACGATTGTACTGTCTTTCTTGATTGTTTTTTTTGAAATGAATTTTGGATTCCATTTCCTCTTTTACAGTTGCTATTAGTCTTCAAGAACACGATAACCTCTTATATTTCCTTTTTTGGCATTTGATAAATCTTCTTCATTTCCCTTTCTCACTTTTTGGCGGTGGGGTCATCTTTGTCCACGTACTTGTGCATGAAACCTCTCATTGAAGTTCTGATATATTGCATTCCAATAGTGTAAACGTTTACTTTTTGTTTTTCTATTTGCTATTCCCCTACTACTTTTTAAATTTGTATTTTAACTTTCAGTCATGTGATTACTGTTACATTGATTTTACCAGGTTCCTGGAGCAGAAACACTTGTTGTAAGAGTTGTGTCATCAGTGGATAAGAAGTTGGAAGTTAAACCAAGGTTTCTCGAAATTTTTCAAGAGGAAAACTATCCATCAGAGTTTCCATATAAATCTAAGGTATGCTAAGAAAAAATTGTGATCTTCCAAATTGCCATATAAATATAGGGTATGCTGTATACAATTTATATGGAGGTTGCCTATGGTTTCCTAGATTAAATAGCATAACTCTGTGATTCAAGTTTATAAAAAAAAGTTCCCGGTTTTAAGTTCATCGATTTATATTTTAATACACGCCATTTTGTAAGAATTTAAAATTACACGAACAATTTAAACAACTTCACTTTTCTCTAGTGCTTTGACTGGCTGCTCTTATTTCATTTGGTCTCCTCCTCCAATAAATGAGAAAAAGATGCGACTGACTATTTTCTGTTAGTTTTGAGGATAAAATGCAATGTCGCAGCAGATACCTTCTCTCTCTTTTTTGTTATTTTTTCCTTTCACCTAATATCTTCATGCCAATATAACCACCCTCTTCGCTAGTGGTCAGAGAGGTATTTTACTTTAGCTCTGGCTTTTTTAATTGTTATTGAAAGAGAACTATAATGGTAGGGAAGAATTTCTAGTGTTCATATGACTATATGTCATTTTCGGAAGTCCATTAATGCCAATCATCTGTCATGTACTTCCTGAACTTGCAGCCTGATGTAAGTATATATATATTGATGGATGAAGACATCTTTTTTTTTTTTTGAAAGTAATCAAATATTTTATTAATCAATGCATAATACACAGGAAGTGTATTATCAATATAAATCAGAAAGTAACAACATGAAATTTGGCAGTCCATCTATATGCCTAGTAACCGCAGTATTAAACCAAGTGTACAATATCAAATAAAACAATTCCCTAATCTGCTATGTTGTTCGTGTGTTTGATCTTCAAAACAACAGCTGTTTCTTTTTCTCCAAACACACCATACGATGCAACCCGGAATAAGGTCCATACAAGTTTGCTATCCTTATCTCGAAACTTTATTCTTCATGCCTTTAACACGCCTTCCATACGTCTCGGCAACACCCAATCCATGCGTTGATGGATGCAGACATTTGAGCCTTCAAAGTTATTAAATCCATCCGACCTGGCTGGTGAATTTCAAATTGAAAGACATCCTTGCACATTTAGGAAGATTTTGTTGTTTTCTTTACTTAAATCAAATGGCATGGGAAACTATTCTTTGACAAGACACTTTTTTAATTGACTCTGGAAATTTCATCAATGAACTTGAGCTACGAACTAAAAGTTGCATCTTCCAGGTGGTATTATTATTTCAGAACATTGAAGGCGTCGAAGTATGCCTTTTTGGGATGTATGTTCAAGAATTTGGATCAGAATGTCAGCAGCCAAATCATCGCCGAGTTTATCTCTCATATCTAGATTCTGTGAAGTATTTCAGACCAGACATCAAAACAGTGACAGGAGAGGCTCTTCGGACATTTGTTTACCATGAAATTTTGGCAAGTTATTCTCCATCTCCTTTTATGCTTCATTTTTGTGCTTGATTCATGCAAGGCAAAACAAATATTGTTACCACTCATTATGTTGACACCTGAACAATATATTTATTTTCTATCCAGATTGGATATTTAGAATATTGCAAATTGCGTGGTTTCACAAGCTGCTATATATGGGCTTGTCCTCCATTAAAGGGTGAAGACTATATTTTATATTGCCACCCAGAAATTCAGAAGACACCAAAATCTGATAAACTCAGGGAGTGGTAAGATTGATAGCCTTCTAACTTGTTGTATTTATTTTTTGCTAATGCTTTTTGATATTGATGTGGATGATGTCTTCTATTTCAGGTACTTATCCATGTTAAGAAAAGCTGCAAAGGAAAATGTTGTAGTTGATCTTACTAATTTATATGACCATTTCTTTGTTTCTACCGGCGAATGTAAAGCTAAGGTGACTGCAGCACGGTTGCCATACTTTGATGGAGATTACTGGCCTGGTGCTGCAGAGGACATGATCTATCAACTACAACAAGAAGAGGATGGGAGGAAACAGCACAAGGGAGCTATGAAAAGAACCATCATGAAAAGAGCTTTAAAGGCATCTGGTCAAACTGATCTTTCTGGCAATGCGTCGAGGGACATCCTGTTAATGCATAAAGTAATTTTAATGCCTGTGTTTACACTGTTATTTTCTGTGTTTAAATTCTCTCTAGAGGTTTTTTTATTTTGAAGACCTACCAATAATGATATTGTTTTTATTATTAGTATTTCTGAAACAAAACATTACAGGCACTTATAAATGGTCGTGGCTATTTACTTTAGTTATTTATTATTTCTTTCCTTTTAATTGTTTTTTGTGATTTTTTCTCTCATTTTGACTGATGATTTATGTTTTGACGCTTTTTTAATCATCTCCCTTGACCTCTTATTTTCTCTCCGTTGTTCCTTCCCCCAGCATTCACTGTTAAACTTAAAAACATTGCTGCATGTCTTATTATTGGTTCTTATAAAATATGTCTTTTTTTTAGCTTGGTGAGACGATATCTCCAATGAAGGAGGACTTTATCATGGTTCACTTGCAACATGCATGCTCGCACTGCTGCACTCTAATGGTATCTGGAGATAGTTGGGTTTGCAAACAGTGCAAAAACTTTCAGCTTTGCGACAAGTAAGGAGTCTGCTGACATTTTAGGCATCACATTGATTACTTTTTCTTGTTTTTCTCTTTCCTGGACTTCTACTTTCTAGAGCTATCCATTTTCTACGTGCATTAGATAGACGTATATAAAAGTTGTTACAGTATAAATCCATGCCTATGTTTAGATTGCCATGGGGAATTTTATCAGTCTTTCTCCCTTCTCCCTTACCAACAAGACTCATTGTCCCCATCCTTCCTCAACCTCCCTCCTGGTCAGTTAAGGGACGCATGCATAGTGAAAATAGAGTATCTAGCTTGAACTGTCTGTGCTTGTTTATTTATTTTTTGTATCTTTGAGAAGTTATATGGTCTGTTTTGATTCCGTGCCATGTTTGGCAAATCACCGAATGAACTACTGTTCTTTTATTGAGGAGCTAAGTTCCTGTGAGATAAGAGGAAATGGAGTGCAATAAGAATTTCTAGAGCTAGATCATTGATGTTGGCCAGAAAAAAAATTGACATTCAAAAGTTAGTTGTTTTCTATTGAGGTTTTCTACAAAATGAATCCAATAATATTTTTGGATTCCTTACTATTGTTTCCATGGTTAATGGTACTCTGAGTTAATTCTTCAAATTGACTTTATTAACAATTCCCATCAGATGAGAACTCTCTTTTGCTGAATCACAATTCCAATCTAACTCTCATCTGTACTTGTATGCAAATGAGTGAAGTCCGTGAGCAATAACTGGTTATAAAATCAATGTAGTATTGCTTTATTTAACTATAGCACTCCTTAATTCTCTTGGCTTTATCCAGGTGCTATGAATCTGAGCAAAGACGTGAGGACCGAGATAGACATCCTATCAATCAAAAGGACAAGCATGTACTGTACTTGGTAAGTTCTGTAGGGTTGTAATTTTTTGCCCAGGTAGTTTTAATCATACTTCAGTTTTCTCCATGTCCTACATGGATTAGTCTTAGTATTGAGAAGTTGAAAACCTGCAGGTAGAAATCAATGATGTCACTGTTGATACCAAAGATAAAGATGAGATTCTTGAGAGTGAATTCTTTGATACCAGGCAGGCATTTCTTAGCCTCTGTCAAGGAAATCATTATCAATATGATACCCTGCGTCGTGCTAAGCATTCCTCAATGATGGTCCTCTACCATCTTCACAATCCCACTGCCCCAGCATTTGTAATGACATGTAATGTATGTCAACATGATATAGAAGCCGGTCAAGGTTGGCGCTGCGAGACGTGCCCAGATTATGATGTATGCAATGCTTGTTATCAAAAAGAGGGTGGGATTAATCATCCTCATAAGTTAACTAATCAATTATCCAATGAACGTAATGCCCAAAATAAAGAAGCAAGGGAATTCCGAGTTCAGCAGGTGCATTGTTCTTTTCTTTTATTTCGTATTGTTTCACTTCATTCTGCTACTTTTACATCATTATGATTAATCTATTTGTTCTTGGGATATGCATCACTTTTTTCTTTCTGTGTCATACACCTCTTTGCTTGAAATGCACTTCAACTAAAATAATTGGGCAAAGGTGTGTATGAGGAATGATCTTCTAAACCGATGACATCTCACATCAATCCATTAGTTGACAAGTTTGTGGTGGGTCTCAATATTTGAATTAAATTTGTTATCCACTAATGAATTAATGTGCTATGTCACTGATACTCGGTAGATAATTTTTTTTTTCTTTTTTGTTTTTTACATATATAAAAACATTTGAAAGTCCAAGATTGGCTTTTTCCACCAAGAGATACAGGTTACTTTAAGTGCTTGAACAATCATGCATTCCAAGAGAGATGGGTTCGTTTGTATTGGAAGTATTATATATGATGACCTGTCAGTTCTGATTGTAGACAATTGTTGAATAGTAACTTAGTAAAACACCGAATTCTTGACACAATGTCTATTTTGCTTTGCAGCTTAGGAAAATGCTTGATCTCCTGGTGCATGCTTCTCAGTGCCGTTCTCCAAATTGTCAATATCCAAACTGTCGCAAGGTGAAGGCACTTTTCCGCCATGGTATGCTCTGCAAAATACGTGCTTCTGGTGGGTGTGCTCTCTGTAAGAAAATGTGGTATCTTCTTCAGATTCATTCTCGAGCCTGCAAAGAATCCCAATGCACTGTACCGCGCTGCAGGTCTGTTTACCTAACTCATTTTCATCCTCGAGAATTTGAAATCCCTCCTTTCCTCTTTGTCACTCGACTGGAAACTTTGGAATGCTTAGTTTTGTGCTAAAAATCATGAATTTATGTACAATGTTTTGATGCAGAGATTTGACTGAACACATTAGAAGGCTGCAACAGCAGTCTGATTCCCGAAGAAGGGCAGCTGTGATGGAAATGATGAGGCAGCGTGCCGCTGAAGTTTCCGGGAATTCTGGATGAGTCGGTTGTACATTGATAGTGACACTGACGATACTCTTTTTACAAGAAGATAATTTATAGTCGTAAACTGCTTTGTTTATAGGCCGAACCTGGGTGGTAAAGAGGTACTGTTTCCTCCCCAATTTTTATTTATCCCATTGGGATTATTTTTTCGGACAAGCTCCATAATGAAGTTTACATAGATCAGATACTGCTCGAGTCTGCAACACCACCTGCATAGTGAAGTTATAGATCTCAGACTGCTCGAGTCTGGAACGACTATATATTGTTAGGAGGGTGTAAGGGTGTAGAAGTCTGTTGCTAGATAAGTGTAGTAATTCTTTAATTTTATTTCTCCTGATCTTCGTCGCCATTATTTGATGGCATGTGTACCATATCTTTCTTGATGTATCTATAGATTATCAGTTATGCTAGTTATGCTACAGGCACAGAAAAAACTTGACAGAATTTTTACAGAACGACACTCGACAATTTTTCATTGGTTTTGGACCCAATAATGGTAAAAATTGCATCATACATGTGCTGCCAACCCATGATTATTCACTTCCAAGAGAAATCACATGGGGGATTGCAGTCTCTCTTTTTGTATGCTGGTTTCCTCCAAACTTGATGCTTTCCATAAACGTCTCTATCTTTGAGTTTTGAAGGTGGTGAAGTAATAAGCTAGGGGTGGGCATGGTCCAGTTTGGTTCGGTTTCAAAGAAAATCGAACCAAACTCAAAATTTTCGGGTATTTAGTAAATGAAATCGTTGGGTCTAAATTTAATTATGAAACCGTTAAGGTTCGGTTCTATTCGATTTTGGAATTTCGTACAATAATTATTTTTTTATATTACAATAACGATAAATTAATTCGATTATGACATATTCAATCTTAACTTTTACAAAATAACGTAGTACAATTTCGTGATATTTTTTGCACCTCTTTTTGTTGAGTTCTTCGTAGATTTGACTTTTAAAATCACAGGAAGAGGAAGATAGCTAGTTCACAATAATAGAACGGTAGAAATGACTTTACGGTAGAATAAGAGATTTGAGTAAAATTTAGATCAATTTGATTAAGTTGGACTTGACCGAAAATTAGAAATAGTAAAATCATATTTTGGATTTGAACTAAATTAATTAGTTAGCAATTTATTTTAAAAAGTAAAATAATTTGACTTATTTAAGATAAAAAAATTTGAAAAATTAGGGAGATTTGATTCGTATTTGATTTTTCGGTTCTCGGTCTAGAACCGAGAACCGTACCGTACCGAATCGAACCGAACCCGTTGGTTCTTGATTCAAATACTCGTTAAGATATTGGTTCAGTTTGATTCGGGTTCGGTCCGATTCTGGAGTTTTGTCCAACCTTATAATAAACTAATAATTAATTTATTTTGTTATATTTTTGCTCTTTTTTCTTTTCGTTTTTTTCATGTTGAACTTAATTTTTCTTTTCCTTTTTCCTTTGATATATTGGTATTGATCACTTGGAACTCTACGAAGACTAGAGTTAAATGTTGATGGCATCTTCGTTGTGCTGGACTAGGTATGACAAAATTAATGATGTATCTTTCTTCTTTAATATTGTTTATATCTGTATTTAGTCTAATGAATTAAGCATGTCTTAAGAGGCGCAGGCCGCTATTTTTAACTAAAGAAATAGACTTCAAAGGCAATTACAGGCAAATTTACAAAATATGCCTTGCATATGGGGTGGTGTAATTACAAATAATCATGCTACAAGTACATTCTCGTTTACGTTAAGTTTCACACTCTTCCTTACAGCATTCGTCATGATCATTGATTTCTACAATATCCTATAACATCGTTGGCCGAATTTTGACACATAAAAGAGAACGTCAAGAAAAATGTATATATAACTTAATTCAATTACAAACAATTTGCATGCCTTGTCCAGTTAATTTACATTTTGCAAAACTATATTTACATCATGGTAACAAAAATAACGTTTGCTGAAAAAAAAAAAATTACAAATGTGTCATTATAAATAGTTGAACAAATAAATATATTTAATTAAATAATAAATTACATGTCGGTTTTTAAATATTGGTGTTTATTTAAAAGCACATTTTCCTTTAAAAAATTACTTTCTTTTGTGTGAGATCATAAAATTTCTTATTTATTTCCTTAAATTCTAAAATGAAATTAGTAAAAATCAATTTTAATAAATTAAGAATATATTTGAAAAATATAGAATACACTTTTTTGGGAATGTTTCAACATTGTAAAAACAAATAAACAAATTCATAATTTTTGTACATCAATTATATTTTTATCTATGATGCATAAATATAAAAAAAATAAAGTAATTTATGTTAGTTATTATTTTGCAGCTAAAAAATAAGTCTATTTTGGTTTGTGTTGGGGATGAATTTTCTCTATTCAGCGAGAAAGCATATACAATCTATGTAAAAATTAAAATGGAAAAAAATTATTTAAATCAAGTGGTAATACTAATTCATGGAAGGATAAATAAAATCAGAGAGAAATTACATTTATAGACGAAAATGACAATATTGAACTTTTGAAGAATAAAAAATAGCTAAAAAAAACTATTGTGTAATGTAATAAAAAGGACAATCATGCTTGATGTACATCAAATTTTACACTTTACCACACGACAACACATCGTTGAACGGTTTAAAAACAAAATTTTTTGGTCAAATCATTTGTTGATAGTTGGATAATGTCAACAATGATGTACACAAAAAGGTGTACAAATGACATTACTGATGTGATTTAATTATTATCAATTACGAGTGCGTCGATTTATTTAACTATTTATAACAACAACGTGTTTTGGAATTGTTGATCTCAAAATATGCTGTCAACAGATGTTGGGCCCACTCGTGCATGCGTAAGCTATATCCAACACGCAAAGACGGATTAACGATCGGGATCACTCTACAATTGGATGTGGGAGAAACTCAACGATACGAGACGTTTCCATTCGGGTCCCGACAAGAAATCCAAAACACGATTATACAATAATACCGCTGATAACTCATATTAAAGATTGTAAATCAATGTAAGAGAACCAAATGAGTTGCTCAAAGTATTTAAAGTTGCATTAGTCTTTAATTGTTATATGGTGAGGGTATTTATAGTATTATAAATGAAATGATGACCATTGGATGAAATTACATAGGGGTGGGCGCGTGTCGGTTCGGTTCGATTTTGTTCGGTTCCAGAAATTTTCGGGTATTTACTATTTAGTAAATGGAATCGTCGGTTCCAAATATAATTTTGGAACTGTTCGGATTCAGTTCGGTTCCATACTATAATTAAATTTTTTAACATTTAGAATAATAGTACATAAATACACCTGAAAGTAGATAATAATATTAATAACAAAAAGTAGATACAAATACCAAATTCAATCTTAACTTTTACAAATTAACGTAATCTAATTTAATAACATATAAATAATAAGTTGTCAAATACAAATACCAAAAAGTAAATATTAATAGTAAAACTTCGATGATTCATATCAATAATTCATTTGCTTCAAACTTTCAACTCTACGTAAAAATGAAATATAAATTAGAAATCATAAAAATAGAATATTTTAAAGTATTGATAATACTTACCAACTATTTAATGTAATCATCAGTTGCTTGACTTTCCATACTAACTAATAAGAAATTATATAAGAAAAAGTTTAAAAAAAGCACAATTAAGTGATTAACAAATATAAATAAACTCTAAATTGTTCAACTAATAAGATTTAATAAAAAAAAATTATTAATTTGTTTATAAAAAATAAAAGAAATTGATTCATCCAATATAAAAAAAAATTCGGTTCTTATTCGGTTCTTGGTCTAGAACCGAGAACCGAACTAAATCATTTGGTTCTTGATTCGGATACCCATTCGGGTATGTTATTTAAGAAAAATCGCTCGATTCGGTTCCGATTCGATTCGATTCGACATTTTGCCCAACCCTAAAATTACACGTGAGCTCATCTCCTCGGCCAAAGCATCAAGTCCTAGCCATCAAGTTGACTTCCTAATTTTACAAAGCATTTAATATTCTTACACCCTATTGACAATACAAGACATAAATACACTTTTTACAGACGTCACATCAATAACTCAAATAAGATCTCTTTAATAAATTCAAGATCTTTGCACGTGGGCCGTCACTGATTAGAGTGGAGCCTCGGACCTGTTGGGCCTCCTCGGCGCATCCACCTCGAATTAATAATGGACCTCGAAAATTACCAACTGGGCCTCGTCTTCTATGGCTGGTGGTTCTCGGCACGCATGAGTCCACGACTTCACTAAGGCGGCCACGTGGCAAATGCTAGTACCAAGTCATAACAGGAATAAACCCAGACAAATCTCTTTGCTGTTCTCAAATTCTCTCAGAGTTATGGAAGTCGTCTGCTCAAGTCTTCGCCTCATCTCTTATGTCATGCTGTGTAGAAAGATAGAGGCAAGAGAGAGTGCGAGGCCGGTGGAACAATTACTCGTACAAACAACGTAAACATAAACATAGTTGAGTGCTAATTATTAACTGAAAATCCCAGTACAACTACTGAGCTAAATTATCTACTAGTTCTAAGTTTTGGCACTCCATGTTCTCTTTTATGAAGTTTTAATAAATGCTCTCTCTCTGATTATTACCTCTATGGTGTTGATTATTGAAGGCCAAAAGATTGAACTTATACCACGGCTTGAACACGACACGTCAATGATATGTGTAGCACTTGTAAAACAATGTTATGCCTCCAAATCTTGAGTCGTGGGCTACCGCGTCAACGATATGTGGAGCACATGTGTAACATTAGTCCTTCGAACCTCAACCGTGCACTCGTCTCATGACTCAAACTTGAGTTCTACCTCAGTTATGGTGTTTACAATACTAATCATATAAAATCGTTCCACATACAAATATTGCTTAATGAATGTTGGAGAAAAGTAGGATACGTGCTTAATTTATATGAACATGTATTTTTAGATTTGACTAAATCGATGAAAATATCTTCGATATATTAATGCTCACAGTGGAAGGAAATATTTGATCGGTCGATGCTATCAATGTGTAAATCAACACGCCATTTAGTGCATACCTAAATATTAAATATACCATCGTATAGATCATTATACAAAATCATGATACATACAAACTTAGTAAGTATTGGAACAATCTTTTATAGGATCAAGCATTCAAACCCCTAAATTCTAATTATACAAAATTCTTCCACGACGAATATTGCTTAATATGTATCGAATAAAAATATATCTTTAGGAACGTCTAACACGACAAGCAAATTAAGGTAATGTACAAATATAACATAATCCATACAAACCTCAAAAGAAGCACTGCAACAATAAAAAAATTATTCAATATAGGAAGAAACAAACATTCTCACCCCTAAATTCAAATCACAAAAGTCTTCCATGATGAATATTGGTAATTAATAAGTGTCGGATAGAAATGTGCACAACGATGAAGATATCTTTAATATTTTTATCCCAATACTAAAATGGATAGAAATATTTGAGCAGCGTCTAACACGACGTGCAAATTAAGGTACTCATACAAATATAAGATACAATCGTATATAATTATATGAGAACGTATACCCATACAAACCTTAAAACGTATATTCAATATAGGAACATTAATCAAACATTCAAACACTAGTTATACAAAATCCTCCCACAAACAAATACTTTTTAACTACCCATAAAACTGATGCAGGCTATTCTTGAGGAAATACTCAGAAATGATCATATTTGTTCTCTCTGTTGGATGGAAAGAATCCCAAAATACATATTTATTTGCATCTGAACATGTAAATGGATTCAGTTGATCACACATGTATCCCATCTCAAACATTCCTGTGGAACAGCATGCCACTGCTGCTACATCAAACCCTGTCATACATAAATTGTCAAGATTTTTAAGACTACGTCGGTTGTTTTGTTATTATTATTTTTTTGGTGTATGAGACACGACCAACCATGTCAAGAAATTTTTACGTTCTTTCTCCCATGAATATTTTAAGTTGTAATAAACTTAATGCGATTTCAAATTATTTGATGGGAAGCAGTGGAGGCCTCCACTGAAATTTGAGAAAAAATCTTTTATATGACTTGTTTAATTTTTTTAGTTTTTAATATTATTTTATTATATTAAAAAAAAATCATAGTTAAACTAGGCCCCACTAAATTCTAGTCCTGGCTTCACCACTGATAGGAAGTCAAGTCTTAAATTTAACAATATTGATAAGATGAATCGTTACTTGATTCTCTTTTTTGATAGAGTGAACCGATAGAAATTATAAGATACGAAGTTTTATAAAATTATTCGCTAGAATTATCATTTGGAAGGGTACAATTATTCTGAGGTATATACTCCATTTTTTTAATTGATTTAACAAATTTTGGCAAACGTAAATTATTACACATAGGGGGGAATATTAGCTCGCTAAGCCTCCCAAGGGAGGCTTCCCGGATGCCCTAAAAAGCATAGGTCGGAGTCGCAGGAGAGCGCTGCCTATTCATGTTACGAAGTGTGAGTTCCTAGATATTGAAAGAGCCAGGGAATTCATTTCATTCTATATATGAATGAGGAGGGGCCTCCTTACAACCCTGAAGAGCCTTTCCCAGAAATTGACAGAGCCAGTGTATTCATTTCATTCTATATATGAATTTAGGCAGATTTGGATTTGTATTTATATACCTGAAAGTATGTATATCTATTATTCATATAGTGTGACACTAATATTTATTCACTTGACATTTTTTTTTGGTTAAAAATGTATAATCAATCCACCCTTAGACCATCAGAATGCCATCCTAGCTCTGCAACTGTCAATAATTAATTATCATGTTAAACTAATAATTATGTCATTTATTGTAAGTTATTCCTCATGTTTTACTTAAAAGTTGCAGTCAAAAACAATTATTAGCATTTAAAAAGAACATTTTACAGCATTATGACAACCTCATTTCATAAAAAGACTCACCAAATAATGAACTGATAATCAATATTAAGCTAATTATATATCATTCTATAATAATATCTAGTGATTTACATATTTGGCTAAGCTCAAAAGTTCAATTATAGTAAATGAATAAGTTTAAAATAAATATTTTTGTTGATAACAATGAGAAGTTAATTATTTTGGCATTAATGTAAAGTTATTTTAGAAGCAAGTGGCCTTTTCTTTACTTTCTAAAGGTAAGAAAAAATGCTATTAGTTTTACTTATTTTTAAGCTTTGCAAACATGCTATTAGTTTGTTGTTGTTTTACTCAAAAGAAAAAATGTCACGTAGCACTAATGATGCTTAACACCAACATAGACGGCAGTTGGGATGCGTTGTTTAATCCATGAGATCCATTGTCACCTAGAATGATGCCAATTGAGATACATTTTTTGATGCATTCGACAATTAATCAGTGGAGTCCACCGCCAACTATGCTAGTTCTATGCTAAAGAAAATGTTATTTAACGACATTAGAGTATCTTTAAGAGAATCTATTTATAAAGAACATCTTTTATGATGTTATTTAGCAATGTTATATTATCTCCAAGACATTATCAATTTATAAAGAAAATCTTTGAATTTAGAGGGTGAAATTTTTACACAGTCCAAAAATGCTATCTACTCTAACTGGTCATTGTTTTTTTTTTTTTAAGAAACATTTATTGAATTCTCCACATATTCTATTTGACATATTGTTTAATATGTTAATGACCAATCAGTTTAAATAAGATTTGAATAATTTAATAATAAGAGCATTGAATAGCTTATGAAATGCAATAATTATAAAGTAAAAATAGAGAGTGAGAGCCAAACTCTCCCTCTATTTTAAAAAGTTAGAATAAAAAGTATCTTGATACTTATTTTTAAGTATTGACTCTCTAAAATATCAAAAATCTTGTATTTAGAGAGTTTCTTGGAGATGTTCTTAATTGTGGCAGTTTGACGCATTTTTTGATGCATTGAACAATTAATTAGTGAGGTTCTCTACTGTACTCGTGGTGTTGAGTAGCATTACTCGATACAAAATAAGATAGAAAAACTTACCAAATAATGAAGGTTTCCTGACGATTTGCGTGAAAACATTGTAAGGATCTGATAAAACCACTCTTATGCCAGGCAATTCTTTGTTCAACTTCTGCACTAAACCACCCACTTTCTGATTGAAATGCAATGCCACTGTATTGTATCCATCGTTGCATCCCTCTCCATATCCATTGAAGAAATTTGTTGTCCTCTCCAATGGCAGACACCCCATTGGAGGTAAACCTGTTAAGGACATTTTTCTTGCTCCTAAACCATATATTTCCTTTATAAAATGTTCTGCAAGTCCTATGAGGAAAACCTGGTACTGATCCACGCTGTACTGGGATCGTCTATTTGGAAGTGTATAATAATTTTCTAGAAAGTCATTTGTTCCCATGCTAATCAAATATAAGGCCTCACTGACAATGAACTTTGCCTTTTCTTCACCCACATGGGCTCTAAGCTTTTTCTGATAGTCCTTGTAGTATTCCACTTCCTTCCAAACTGGTAAAACATTCTGCAATTCAAACAATAATAAATTTGAGATCGACTACATAATACCGCAATCCATTTCTGTCTATGTTTTCGTAGCTAATCAGAAAGCCCCGGTAAACGAGAAGGGGTTAAGGTAAGCATATACCCACAAGGCAGGTAAAGGAGGAGAATTACGGTGGGCTGAAAATCTTTAGCACGGGTGAACAAGAAGGGTTGCGATATGTTGACAGTAAAAGCAAAACTTTGTCAAATCTCAAGACATGAATCGTTACGACTTTAACCTATCCTGATTTGAAATCCATACTAACGACCCAGCATAACGTTTCTTCTTTTCTCAAGCCGCTTAAAATCGGCTACATGCGGGAAGAAAATTAATGCTAAAATAAGTAGCAAACTAAAATGAAAACCGGGGACTTACAAGTACATCAGAAGTTGAGTTGTCATAACCAGTACCAGCAGAAGCAAAGCAAACACCAGCAGCAAAATCTGAAATATTATACATTGGATCTAAATAGGCAGGCACAAATGGCCTAAGCCCAAATCCCTCAGAAATAAAATCCGGAGGAATACGGCCATTGGAGAATCTCCCTGTGGGTCTCCCACCAAAGAAATCTCTACCATATGGCCTAAAATTGCTCTTCAATACAGTCGAAATCTGGTTATTATTTCCAGCATCAACTGATGAATCTCCAAACACAATAATGGCTGGAACTTTTGCTGCACCAGTGATGGTTAACATAAAAAACTGGGCCAGAAACAGCCATCGTAAGTACACACATTCCATCTGTTTGTCTCTTTCTTTCTTTCTTTTTATTTTTTGTCACAATGAACAAATTAAGTGGGCTAATGAAGGGTTTTATACTGAACTGGACATGGGTTGAAATGAGAGATTGACAAAGTGGAGGGGAAGGAGTTTGTTGGGGATCATTTAATGGTAAAATAAATCAGATTCACACTAAATTTCGTACGCTGGACAGTCGAGAAAAGCTTTTATGGTAGTAATTTATGAGAGCTGATAGTAGCCATGCAATATGCGTCAGGTTAGTTTGTTGGTTGGCGAGGCATTTTTTTTAGTCTTAAGTTCTTGAATGAATGGTTCAACCGTTCAAGTCTTGAGAATGGCCTGCACTGCAGTGAACCTGGCCGGTTGCTTTAAATAACGCTAAAGTCAAACCTGAGTCCCCAACCTTTACACGACCGATCATTTGAGTCCCCCAACCTTAAAAAACCTCCACATAAATCTCAAACCTTTTGTTCCCAATTTACAAAAATCATCAGTTTGGCTGTTAAAAAATTGGGTGGCAACGGGATGGGGTCAAGATGGCCCTCCTCCTCGAGGATTTTCACGATGTAGTGCATGAATTAAAATATTCTCATTTACCAACTTCTTATATTTTGAAAGAGTAATGATATTTAGCACCATAAGTATTTAACATTATTAATTTAGGTGGAAGCACTGATGATATTAAATTATAGTTTCAATTAAATACAGTGAATTATGTCCCATTTCATATGACCTATGATATGTTACGACTTAAACTAGTGCTTTAATATCACTGATGCTAAATAACATTATTCATCATTTAATAAATAACTTCATTATATCTCTCATTGAACCTATGATCCAATGTGACATATACGGGTGTTGTAGTACCAATGGTGCTGGATAGAATTATTCATTTTATAATTATTTTTTAATTTTTAAATACTATTTAAATTTAAAAATTTAAGAAAAGATAAAAAATAATATTTAGGTTGTGTTTATTGCGGGGACCATGAGGGATGTCAACGTGGTAGGTATGAGACGGGTCAACCATTTTCACCCCCATCTCATCGAATCTTTTTGTTACCTTATCCCATCTCCACACCCGTTTAAAGTGGGACGGGGCTGGTTCGAGGCATGATAGAGGCGGGGCGGGGCAGGTCCATTGCCCCATTTATCATCCCATTTATTTTTTATTTATTTTATTTTTTACTTTTATTTTTTTAATGTTTTTACTTAGTAAATATTATTACTTTTTTATCAATTTGTTAGAAGCAACGCGTGTTCTCTTTAAAAATATGATAAATCTATTATTTTTGTTTGATAAAAAAATTTAAATTTAAAATTAACTTTAAACGGGACGGGGACTATGATTCCCGCACCCGTCCTGTACCCGTTTCGGGGGCAATAACCCTCGCCCCACCCCTTTTACTCGATTAAGCGGGTAATTCCCGCCCCGTTCGGGATGGGTCTCCACAAGTTTCGAGTTGAACGGATTTTTTTGTCATCCTTAGGGACAATGTTCCTCATTCACCATGGATCAAGTTATGTTGCCATCACTGTTAAAGAATCAACTTTTTCTTTAATTAAAATGACTATTATTCCCTTAATTTGGATTAAATAAAAAAGAATAATTTGTTTAATGAACAAAAATCATTCGTGTCTAATAAAATGTAGTCGAGTCCGGAGTACATTGTTTTAAGAGTAAAATGAATAAATACAAATAATTTCTAAATTTGTATGTCCTCTTATTCGCCCCCCCCCCCCCC